AAGGAACATGTACTCCACGGTTCCTCTTTCCTGCCATGCCAAATTTCCGGGGTACTGACCAAGGACGTGAAGTGTGACGTGAACAGTTATTCTGAGGGTGAATGGACAAGGACCTGCCTCAAATCCAGGTCTAGACAGCCTGCGACTTTAGGGGCACCCGACCAAAGCAAGAAGTCAGCTTTGCCATGGAGGTGATTATACCATTATGAGCCCTGGCAATGTGACTGGGACAAATGTAGAAGAGAGAAAAAACAAGGGTAAGAGGCAGAGCAGGTAAAATAAGATAATCATACAACCATAAAATAACTGTATAACTATCTCTGACACAACCTCCACAGCACACTAAGAAAGCTTGTATGATTTACGGTCAACACACAAGTCACTCGCTTGGGAACAAATAACATGAATTTGGTATTACATTAAGGGCAACCACACTGTGGATAAAAACAGAGAGTATAACCTTTAAGCCTGCAAAAGAAACCTTGATCTAGCTGATAAGATGAAGAAAATGGTAGAAAAAATTTCAAAGAGAAAATGGAAAATACTAAATGGAGGAAAAAAAAAAAACTCTAACATGACAGCAATTATAATAAATATGAATAGGTTATATTCAACAAATTAAAAGATCATCTTGGAGCCAACAGGAGGCATGTTGGTTAGAGGCGCTGGACTCCCACATGGCTGACCATAGTTCAAGTCCCAGATCTGGTGGCTCACTTTCTCACTCTCTCTGTGTCTCTCTCTGGTCAAATTAAAAGATAAATAATAAAAACAAATAAAAATATTTTTTTAACTCCTTTTTTTTTGGAGAGGTTTTTGCTATAGGGCGCGTGCGCTCGCCAGACAGACAGAGACAGAGAGCTAGAAAGTCAGCAATCACCCCCCAGGGGGGATGGCCACACCGCAGTCCCTTCTCCTTCATTCGGGATCTTGGGCACACACATACACATGCCCGGAGTGAGTTTAAGCCACCGGGTCCGGGACACGAACTGCAGTCGACTATGTGGGAGTCCAGCGATATAGCCATTATGCTAACTGCTGGTCCCAAAATAAATATTTTTTAAAAAATCCTCTTTTATGCAGCCTGACAGATATCCATATCCTCCCCCACAGGCCTCCAACTAGACCCTGCTTTACATTAACTTCTCCTTTCTGCCCACTTTCACTCTGCATTTTACCTCCCCAATGAAATCAGAATGTCTCCAGTCTGTTTTGTTTTGTTTTGTTTTTCTGAGAGAGATTTTTGCTATAGGGCGCATGCACTCACCCAAGACAGAAAGCGAGAAATAACCCCCAGGAGGGATGGCCATGCCACAATCCCTTCTCCTCCATTTTCCTCTGAGGATTCTGGGCACACATGCAAATACACCCGGGGTGAGTTTTAACCTTCCAGGTCCAGGACTCAAACTGCAAGCGACTACACTGGAGTCCAGTGATGTAACCATTCCGCCACCTGCTGTCTACTTTAATTCAGAGAATATCTGTTAACGTGCCTCCTGTTGGAGTACGGGTTTGGTTACCAATACGGTAGCTATTAATTTCTCCAAGTTCAATTTGTCTAAGTAGATATTTCTCTTGCAGGAAAATTCCTGAACTCACCACGAAGAATTATAAGCCTTACTGAACCCCCAGAGGGCCAAGTACAACACAGTGGTTGCCTCTTGAAGTATATCTCCTTTAAAGGAAAACTGTGGTGGAGAAAACAACTAGGATCAAACTCATCGATCTGCTTCTTCAGTAAATGATTTTCTCAGCAGAAAACCTGACTCCCAAATACCTGTCTTGGTTAATGAGAATCACATAGCTTGAGGTGCTGTGTGCTCCCTCTGTTCTTTTTATTTTTTTTAGAATTATTTTATTTCACTTTATTTATTTAAATTTGACCAGTGAGAAAGAGGAACAAAGAGTGAGAAAGCAAGCCTCCAGGTCCAGAACTTGAACAGGGTCAGCTACGTGGGAGTCCAACACCCCCAACCGCCATGCCACCTGCCCGCCCCATATTTCTCATTTATTTTTACTACAGGACACGTGAACCGTTGAGAAAATTAGGTGACAAGAGATTGAACGTGACAGTTAACATGATGGTGAAATTTTTATTTATTTATTTATACATACATACTACGGGGCACGTGTGCTTGCCAGAGAGAGAGAAATCACACACACACATACACACACACGGGGATGGCTACGTGCAATCCCTTGTCCTCCATTCTCCTCTCAGGATTTTGGGCACACACGCCTGGGATGACTTTCAAGTCTGGCCAGAGTTTCAAGCCACTGGGTTCAGGACCCGAACCAAGTAGTCGGCCACGTGGGAATCCAGCGCCTCAATCACCACGCCACCTGCTGGTCCCCATTTCTGCCGCCCTTATACAGCCTGGCTGGTTTCAGGCCACAACTGCGCGACCTCCACCCCCAGGTCGCCACCCTCTGCGCACGCCCCAGCGACCGCCGGGCTTAGGCGGCGTCTCCCGTCCTCACTCCGTACTGCCTCCGCGGACTCCAGGGTAACCCGCCCACACCGGCTGCCCGCGTCCTGCACGCCCGGCCCAGGCTCTGTCCAGGCTCTGTCCCCGGCACACCTGCTCCTGC